ACAAAAGAAACTGAAGACACAAAGAGATGGAGAAACACCTCATGCTCATGAATTGAAAGAATAAATATTGTTAAAAATGTCTTTCCTACCCAGAGAAATCTACACATTCAATGCAATCCCTATCAAATACCATCGACACTTTTCAAGGAGCTGGGACAAACAATCCTAAAATTTGTATGGAACCAGAAAAGACCCCAAATAGCCAAAGTAATGTTGAAAAAGAAAACCAAAGCTAGTGGCATAACAATGTCTTACTTCAAACTATATTACAAAGCTGTGATCATGAAGATAGCATGGTACTGGCACAAAAATAGACACATAGATCACAGATCAGCGGAACAGAATAGTGAACCCAGAAATGGACTCTCAACTCTATGTTCAACTAATCTTTTACAAGTAGGAAAGAATATCCGATGGAAAAAAAAGTCTCTTAAATAAATGCCATTGGGAAAACTGGACAGCCACATGCAGAAGAATGAAAACTGGACCATTCTCTTACACCATACACAAAGATAAACTCAAAATGGATGAAAGACCTAAATGTGAGATAGGAATCCATCAAAGTCATAGAGGAGAACACAGGCAGAAACCTTTTGACCTCAGCCACAGAAACTTCTTGCAAGGCATGTCTCTAAAGGCAAGCAAAACAAAAGCAAAAATGAGCTATTGGGATTTTATTGAGATAAAAAGCTTCCGCACAACAAAGAAAATAGTGAACAAAACTAAAAGGCAACCTGCAGAATGGGAGAAGGTATTTGCAAATGACATACCAGAGAAAGGGCCAGTATCCAAGATTTTAAATAATTTATCAAATTCAACACCCAAAAAACAATCCCCTCAAGAAATGGGCAGAAGATATGAACAGACATTTCTCCAAAGAAGAAACATAAACGGCCAACAGACATATGAAAATGCTCTACATTACTTGCCATCAGGGAAATCTGAAATCAAAACCACAATGAGATACCACTTTGCACCGGTGATAATGGCTAAAATTAACAGAGCAAGAAATAACAAATGTTGGCGAGGATGTAGAAAAAGGAGAACCCTTTTGCACTGTTGGTGGGAATGCCAGCTGGTACAACTACTCTGGCAAACAGTATGAAGGTTCCTTAAGAAGTTAAAAATAGAGCTACTTTATGGCATAGCAATTGACCTAGCACTACTGGGTATTTACCCCAAAGATAACAGACATAGTGAAACGAATGGGCACTTGCACCCCAATGTTCATAGCAGCAATGTCCACAAGAGCCAAACTGTGGAAGGAGCTGAGATGTTCTTCGACATATGAATGGACAAGAAGATATGGTATATATACACAATGGAATACTACTCAGCATCGGAAAGGATGAATACCTACCATTTACATGGATGGAACTGGAGGGGTGTTACACTTATTGAATTAAGTCAGAGAAAGACAATTATTACATGGTTTCTCTCGTATGCAGAACATAAGAAATAGTGCAGAGGACCATAAAGGAAGGGAGGGAAAACTGAATAGAAAAAATCAGAGAGGGAGACAAACCATGAGAGACTCTTAACTCTGGGAAACAAACTAAGGGTTGCTGAAGGGGGGGTGGGTTGGGGGATGGGGTAGCTGGATGATGAGCGTTAAGGAGGGCACATGATGGGATGAGCACTGTGTGTTATACACAACTGATGAATTATTGAAAATTACATCTGAAACTAATGATGTAAATATGTTTGCTAATTGAATTTAAATAAAAAATAAAAATAAATGAATGGATAAAGAAAATGTGGTATATATGGAGAATGAAATATTTAGCAATAAAAAGGAATACAATACTGACATATGCAACAACATGGATGAACTTTTGAAAACATTAACTGAAAGAATCCAGGCACAAAAGACCACTTATTGTACTGTATGATTCCATTTATATGAAATTTCCAGAAGAGGCAAATCTATAGGGACAGAAAGTAGATCAGGGTTGCCTAAGGCTAGGGTGAGTTGAAAGACTGGAAGAAAAAGGTGACTGCCAATAGGTATGACATTTCTTTTGAGGGTGAAGAAAATATTCTGATGTTGAATGTAGTGATGGCTGTGCAACTCTGCAAGTATACTAAAACCTGTGAATCTTATATTTAAATGAGTGAATTGAAGGATATATAAATTATATCTAAATAAAGTTGTTATTTAAAAAAATACAAACAGAACAACTTCTCCTTGTTTGGTGAAACCACATCCCAAGAACACCAAATCACACAAGGTCTTATTTATCCTGTATATGTATGTGCCCAAAAGGTAACAGAAACCCACTGAAGAGTTTTTAAATAGGGGAATGTCATAATTAGATATACTTTTGCAATGTTTGATCAACAGATTGGAAGAGAGCAAAACTGAACTTGAAAGATCAGTTAAGAGACTAGAGACTGGAAAGGGATTATGGGAATTAAGATCAATAGGACTGATGGATGATTCTGAGATGTGATAGTACAAGTTTTCTCCTTTGTAAAACTGTATGTATGGTAGTGCTATTTATTGGGGTAAGGAATAATAGAAATGTTACTATTGTTATGGATGTTAGTTTGCAACAGGGATGTATCAGTTTTTTATGTATTTGTTCTAGATGTCTTGACATTATCCAGGTAAAGATCTAGCTATACAGACTAGGAGAGCAAAGAAAAACCAGAGGCAGAAGGTATACATTTGGGTGTTACTGTTGTAAATGAAAATCAATCAATTAAAAAAAAAAGAAATAGAAAGAAAAAGAGGGACTAAGATGGAACTGAGCAGAATACAACATTTAAAGAATAAACAAAGAAATGAACTGGTAAAGAAGACTGCAAAGTGTCTTTGCAGGAGAGGGTGTCATGAACCTCAAGAGGAAAGTTTCAAGAAAGACTTAACGCTGAAAGTTGTTTTCAAAGTAAAGTGAATAATGAAAACTGTCATTTGGATCTAGTAACAATGGAGATTGTCAAGGTTTTTAGGGACCTTAGTGAGAGCAAATCTGGAGGGATGATGGAATAGAAGCTAGACTGGAATAACTTTAAGAATGTTGAGTGGAGGGGTGCCTAGGTGGCTCAGTAGGTTAAGGGGCCGACTCTTGATTTTGGCCCAGGTCATGACCTCAGGGTCATGATATCAAGCCCTCCATCAGGCTCCATCTCAGCATGGAGTCAGCTTGAGATTCTCTTTCTCCCTCTGCCCTTCCCCACTTGCACATGGCACGTGCACATGCTTTCTCTCAAAGAAATAAATAAGTAAAATCATTAAAAATATAAAAGAATACTGAGTGGAAAGGCAATGGAAATAACTGGTTCAGTTCTGGGAGGCAAGGTGAATCCACCACTGGAGGGCAGAGCACAGTAAAGGCAGGTTTTGATGTTTCATTGCTGAAAAAGTTGAGCAATTTGAATACATTTAAAATAAAGTTAGAGTCAGGAGAGAGAAACAGAAGTTGAAGATATAAGAAAAACAAGAGAGAATCGATAGCACTAGGTTCCTAAAGAGGTGGGAGGGACCAAGATCCAGAGGACATAGGGAAGGGTTATGCTTAGACAAGAGGATGAAATATTCTTCAACAGGAGGAAGAAATAAAGAGGGAATGAAAGTACTTGAAGGTTAGGTATGTACATCTGTTAGCAGAAAATTAAAGGAAATCCAGTCTGATAGTTTTTATTTTTTCTGAAGCAGAAGGCAAAGTCACCTGCTAAAAGTGAGAAGGAAAGTGGGAGGGTGAGAGATTTGACAACAGTGAAGGTTTATTAAATAGTTGCCCAGTTCCTGTGGGATGTTTATTCCCTGTTTGTTTTAACATTATTCCATTACCCTTTTCTTTACCATATATCCACATTTAATTATAGTTTTCTAAAATGAAATAACTGTATAATATTTCTTTGGTTTTATTTATAATCAGAATACCAAATTCAACTGTGCTGTTGTTACCATCACATTAACAATTCATCTATAATACTTCCTATAAACTCTATTTAAAAATCAAAATGAAAACCTATATATCTTACACAATAAATTTCAAAACTACCCATTATGCTCATATAGGTAATCAATCATTTATCATATGTACAAATTTTATCTCCACACACCTAGAAGGCATACGATTTATTTAGAGGATTTTATTCTACATTACTTTAAATGTGGCATACTATTTGCAAAGATGGCCTCAACAATCCCTCCCATCCTTGTGGACACTACCATTTGCATTGTGACTTCTCTATTCCAACCATCAGAAGGGGAATCTGTTTCTTTTCCCTATCATATGGGTTGGCCCTGTGATTTACTCTTTCCTATATAATTCCATAGATGTGACAGCAAATGACTTCTTAAGCTTTCCTGTAGCTCTCATGCTTGGCTTCATGGAATATGATGAAGCTCCAGCTAGCCTTCTGGAACATGAGAGATCACAGGGAAAAAGGCTCAGCCAACAGTACTATCTCCCAGACGTGAGACCGAGGTCATTTCAGACCATCTAAGCCCTAGCCGAGTCATCAAATGAGTACAGCCTCATGGACCCTAAGGGAGATCAGCAAATTGTGTACCTGAGGCCTACTCGGACTGTCAACCTACAGAATTATGAGCAAATAAGACAACTTTTAAAATATAGTCTGAAGCTGTAACCTAATTTTTAATTTCCCTTTTCTATTTTAAAAATATAGAAAAAAAGGAATATAAAAACTTAGTACCTTTCTGTGGAAAAATCATAAATAATATCACATTACTTATCACATTATTTTGCATGTAAACTTAAGCTCCTTTAAAATAAAATTACCAGAGTCATAGTCCAGTGGTTCAGCCATTCATTCACTTATTAATTACATACGATGAATCAGAGTCATTCCATACACTGACCATATATTAGTGAACAAAAGAGATTAAAATCTCTGCCTGCATTGGGGAGATATGGACAACCCAAATCCAAAATATATTATCTTCTAATATATAAGTATTATAACAACATCTACATTTTTCAAGGGAAGAACAAGTAAAGAGAAATGTTACCAATAATCACTCTTACCCTCATGCCAAGCACCAAGAACCCAATCTCTTCCATTAATGGGTACTTGCTGACCTGTTGCTTAATCTTCTCAGATGAGGCAAAAGGATCGTAACTCTTTCGCCCTATCTTTACATCCATAATACAGGGCTTATTAAATTTATGGGTCACATCTTCCAGTTTTAAGTATAAATCTGTTATTAAAGAAAAACTAATTAGTAATAGGCAAACATATTACTATTCAAAAAACTGCCAGGGGAAAACAAAATAAGGAAATCTTAAAAACTGGGAAAAAAGTTAAAATAAAATCCAGAAACAATTATTATTACTCCATCTGAAGAAAAAAAAAAGACTGACCAACAAATTTATATCAAGTATAAATATCACAGAGAAACTCTTGCAAGAAGTGATTAAATAATATTCAATCATAAGCAAAAGGTATGAAATAGATCTAAGGTTTCTACGGACATTAAAATGAGACTATTTCAAAAGCTATTTCAGAATGCATTCCCCTTATGTTTTTTTTCCCCCTTTTGAATATATTTTATGTCATCTGTACCTCAGCAGATCTCTTAGTATTTTAATAATTTTTAAAATTCTTCATTTAAAATTAGTAATAGGAATAAATCCTTCCCACAGTGTACACAACAGAAATATAGCTTAAGAAATCAATCTAAATTATGGTCACTGCCAAATTTACATTCTAGTTTTACTAGTCTCAAAAGAAAAATAAATATCTTGCTTTTTAGAATATAAGTGTTCATCAAAAGTTCATCTGTAAACCACTTTGGCATCCTGCATACATCTTCCCACAGATATATATATATATATTATATAATATGTAATAATATAAAATATACATGATATTATCTATTACAAATGGAGATTCAAGTAAAAGACTATAAAAGTCCCATTTATTACATACTGTAGCTGAACTAATTATAGCTTAGTTTGAAAATAAAGGTCTAAGTACACTAAGGGAAGGAAGGAAGGAAATTCTTCCTCTCTCTACTTGATAAAAGAATCGTCCCAAAGTTCTGAATGAGCTCATAATTTTCCGTTATGAATGTGAGAAGCATGTCTCCTAAAAACTTTTTCTCAAAAACAGAAAAGATTTTATTTGCTTCTTACCAAAGTAACAAAGTTAGAGAAGGTATGTATTTTCAGTGAATTCTGTAAGAGGCCACCAGAGAAAAAGGAAGACTTTTACCCTCTTTGCCTTTACCTTGACCCACAAAGAGTAGCAGTTATTTTTTTTTAAGATTTTATTTATTTATTCATGAGAGATACAGAGAGAGAGGCAGAGACACAGGCAGAGAAAGAAGCAGGCTCCACACAGGGAGCCCAATGTGGGACTCGATCCCGGGTCTCCAGGATCACGCCCTGGGCCAAAGACAGGAGCTAAACCACTGAGCCACCCAGGCGTCCCAAGGGTAGCAGTTATTAAATTACAATAAAGAAGTCTGTGTTGAACCAAAAGTGAGAACAACCCTGGGTAGGCCTTGAGAAAGTTTTAGGCCTTCAGATTTAAGAGGCATAAATCTTTTCCTTGAAAGGATAAGAAATAAAAAGTTAAGTTTTATCCTTTAGTCAAAGGAAGATGGGAGCAAAGTCATGATTGTACAGAACTAGGTGAAGTCAAGCCCAAATATGACAAAAAACTATAGCCTAAGAAACCAGCACCCACACAAGAGAAAGTATAACACATTTTAAAGAAAGACTCACAAACAGACATGTTCAGCAAGAGAAAACAAAAGGTCTGGAGACAGACAGGGGACTATTAACAATGAAAGGTAAGGGCGCAGTGGGAATACCCCAACCAAGAAACTGGAACCTAGTCAATGAGCTTTTGTGCTTTAAAATATAAGTACAGGATAGTGTGAAAAGATGGGGAAGAAAGCAGCAAAGAACTTCTGGTCTTCTTCAGATTCTCTCCTCCTGTCTCCAGCTACCTTGAGTGAAAGTAAACAGACTCATCCTTTTCCTATAGCTGTGTAAAAATTTCAGTAACATGGTTTATTAACTATTTGAACTATAGTTCAAATACCAGAAAAGACTAATTAAAACCTAATACAGTAAACTACTGGCATTCATAAGTATATTATTAATTTCCATAACTCAAGAGACTGCAAAAGTCCTATTGAGGTGAGACTATGTAAGGGAGTACACAGATAGTGAGTGAACCTAGCTAACTATCATAGCATCTTTATCTCAGTGTAGCATTATTATTTTCTACTTGACAATTTGGTAGTGATCAAAACAAATAATAAACTTTTTTGTAATAAGAGATGACAGAAGCAAGAGGAGATTGCATTATCTTAACATAAAATCTCTATTTCCTCCTTCCCCTCTTGGGAAAGAGGAAAATACAAATGCAAATCTCATATATAGTAGGAATATAATAAATGTTTGCTGAATGAATGAATGTTTGCCCTTCTCATTCCTATTGCCCAGTGGAACTTTGAGTTTGGCCTTACTAACATAATAAATTGAGTCATTCCTTCAGTAAACAGGCCTGAGTATCCTGGGTTTTATTTCAACCAGCCAAATGTGTTTTTCTTTACTTTCAGGTTCTTGATATGTGATATATGACTCAAATTACCAAATAACTACTAGATTATTTATAGCCTTAAGTTAATAACCCTTAAATTAAGACATACTGAGTTGGCTTAGTCTTTTCTTTTAGTTCCTGGCCCTAATTTTTTTTAAGTGAAACTAAGAATTTGAGACTAATTTTTTTTTGAGACTGTGATTTCTATTCCAAGTTGTAAAAATAAACATCAAAACCTGCTTTAGAAAAAAAAAACCTGCTTTAGAGATGCAGAGTTTTTAAGAATATGTCATCATATATCTAGCAGCTTGTCACAAGTATTTTTGAATGAAATTAATACTTGAAAATGGGACATGATCTGAGCACTGAGACTTTTACTGACTTTTACAGGTTGTCATCACTAGAAATAAGTCTGAATACTAATTATCTCTGAAAAAAATGCTATTAGCAAATTATTTTGCTAGCACAGAGCTTAATTCAAAGTAAGTCAATCTTGAGATTCAGTAACTTAAATGCTCAAAGGCATTTTACTACAGGGCTTTGCCTGTAAGGCAATACCACAGACTGGATAACAAAGGACACTTTTTCAGCCAGGCCTCTCAGGGTATAAAATGGAACAGTATTTTTTAATTTTCAAGTAAACAGAAAATATGTTCTAAATTTATCCAATGGACACCTCGGTGGCTTAGTGGTTGAGCATCTGCCTTTGGCTCAGGTCATGATCTAGATCAGGTCCTGGGATCTAGTTCCACATCGGGCTCCCCGTGGGGAACCTGCTTTGTTCTCTGCCTCTGTCTCTGTCTTTCTCACAAATAAATAAAATCTTAAAAAGAAAAATAAAACTCATCCAAAAAATCTGACGGACTAAGAATAACATAAATTTTCTATCTGGGACAGTTTTAAGTTCATTCTGACCAAAATTAAGGAAATAATTAAACTACTTTATTTATTTATTTATTTATTTATTTATTTATTTATTTATTTATTTATTTATTTATTTTTAAAGATTTTATTTATTTATTCATGATAGTCACACAGAGAGAGACAGAGAGGCAGAGACACAGGCAGAGGGAGAAGCAGGCTCCATGCAGGGAGCCTGACGTGGGATTCGACCCCGGGTCTCCAGGATCGCGCCCCGGGCCAAAGGCAGGCGCCAAACCGCTGCGCCACCCAGGGATCCCAATTAAACTACTTTAATATGATGTTTGGAAAAGAGTAATTATGGTGTGATTATTTAATATGATGTAACTTGCAAGATATGATTTTGAATGAAAAGAGGTGACTTTACATTTTTACATATATAGGGGTATATTTATTTGTGTGTATATAAATCATAAAGATTGATAGAATAACTAGAATAATAACTAGATTTACTTTTTTAAATTCTGTAAAGCTCTATTTAGGACAACAGATTCTGATAAGGCCAGTTTGCCAGAAGTCCAAGGACTGGCATTTGTGAAACTCAGATCTAAGGAGATATTCTATAATGCCTAATGGTATTTGTATAATAAATAAAAGGACATCTACTTTTCATAAATACGTGGAGCTCATTACAAGAGGTCACACTGACTGGAAATAACTTAGTTAAGTTTAGGAGTCTATGGCTGTAAGAGATAAATCTATAATTTATCTATTAATTTATAAAAAGTAAACACATAATTTCTGTAATTCATTCATTTTTTTGAGGTTAAAGTCACGAAAATAACTACCAGAAATAACTACCAGTGGTGTATTTCTAAATATATGCTGTTATAAGCAGATTACTAAGAAGATATCTAAGTCATTTTAACAATGACATGGTTAGCATGCTCAAAATATTTATACACTTCATGCTGTTGATGACAGTATAAGATTACCCAAAGTTACCATGGCTGAAGAAAGCTTCCTATTTTAAATATGTTTTCTGTTTAAATACATTTAATTGATTATAATCACCTAAAATATGAATACAGTACTTACATTGTTTTATAATGTTAGCATTAGAAATTATTGTTAAGCATAAGAAATTCCTATAGCAAATTTTCTATGCTGGAATATAGTCCTGACACTCTAAGAAAGGCAGAAAATTCTCAGTATCAAAAGAGAAAAAAACAGAAATATTTGAAATACTGTAGAAAAACTGAAAGACCTACATATAACTAAACAGTAAAGATAAGATAATTAGTTCCTTTAAAAGAAGGACAAGGGAGAGGGCATTTAGGAAGTTGAAGGGAGACTTACTTAGATATCCTTACAAAATATTTCTGATTGTATAAATTATGAGAACATGGGTCTCAAGTTGTATCAAATTCTTCCCCATCATCTCTAGAAAGTCTACTAGGTATTAATTTCCATCTCAATTTCTGAACCTCTCAACAAGGAGAAGAGGCCAGATGAGAAGCCTGGATGAGAACCCCCTGCCCAACTATGAAGCCATATGGAAAAACAGAGAAAGCTTTGCTTCCGCTTTCTACTGCAATTATCAGTCATTTCTGAGAGCAAGATAAGCTAAAAGTAGAAAGAATTATAAGCCTCTTTGAGCCTCCAAATTTGACTTAAGTTTGAAGGAGAGGATAGACATGTATGCCAGCTTATTTTAGTCCATGCGTCCTAAAATTTGACTAGTAGCTAGATCCAGAAATGTAACAATCAATCAGGCTAGAGATTACATTTGAAAACTCTCAATATGCTCAAATCTACCTGAAGATATACTTTCCTCTCTCTCTAAATAATTATCAATAAAAGGCTTTTGATGGTACATGTACTAGGCATCATATGTTTATACAGATACAAATGATTTAATATATACAACTAGCTTAAAATCTTCAAAGATAATTTACTAATGTTTTATTTTTTAAAAATCCCTTAGCGTTCTAAAATTAGCTAATGGTGATGATGGTCATATAATTCTATGAATATACTATGAACTACTGAACTGTATACTCTATAAATTCTTTTTCTTTTTTTCCCTTTTTTTTTTAATGTTTTATTTATTTACTTGACAGAGAAAGCACAAGCAGGGGGAATAGCAGGCAGAGGAAGAGGGAGCAGCAGAAGCTGCTGCAGGAATCAATCCCAGGACGCTGGGATCATGACTTGAGCTGACAGCAGACATTTCTGGGATCATGACCTGAGCTGAAGGCAGATGTTTAATTGATTGAGCCACCCAGGCACCTTGAATTGTATACTTTAAATGAGTGAGTTTTACAGTACATAAATTATGTCTTGATAAAGCTATCATAAAAAAAATCAAAAGAAAAAATCTTATTGGTCAGCACATTCTTATGCTTCTCTCAAGTTACAATAATTTGCTAAACAAATTGGCAGTACTTTCTATATTTTACTACTTTGGATTGTAAGAACTATCTCAAGCTTTATAAAACTACTCTGAGCACCTAAAAAAAGATGCCCAGAAGGGGAGAAAAAAAAGCCCAGTTATTCCTATGTAAAATACAGTAATGTAAACCACAATGTTCTACTAAAATTCAATATAATATTTGGCTTCATAATACAAATATTTCTATTTATTTCATTTGTTATCAGAAGGATAAAAACAGAAAAATGATCCCATAAACTCTCTAGTAAAATCAAAGCTAAACACCTGCATTGTGCAACAATTTTTGTCCAACTTCTTCCAGAGCTTTAAAAAACTGAAAAGGAACAAGAAATTCCGAGGCAATTGTTAGTATTACTGAGCCACTCTGTACAAATATATCTTTTTATTCCTGTCCTTCTCCCCCTTACATTTACATTTTCTCCTCTCTTCTCTCATTTTTCTCACTTCACCTTCTCATCCCAATAGCACCAATTTCTCCATTTATAGTCAAATAAGAGTATTAGAATTTTCAAAGCATTCTTACATAACATGTATCTATCTTTTTGACTCTATGTGGTATTACTTTCAATTTATAGAAGAAAAAAGTAGAAATCAAAAAGGTTAATGAGTTAACCAAGTTCAAAAATTTGGAAAAAAATCATGGTAAAAACCAAGTCTTTTGAGCTCAAAGTTACTGCTCTTTCTATTTTGACATCGATGTCCTAGTCAAGTATTAAAGACAAAAAAGCTGTTGACTTAGTACTAGCAAGTCCTTGATTTTTAAATCATACACTAGTAATTCCAAACTATAAAATGTTATTTTTTTAAAATATTTTATTTTTTCATGAAACAGAGAGAGAGAGAGAGAGAGAGAGAGAGAGGCAGAGACACAACACAGGCAGAGGGAGAAGCAGGCTCCAGGGAGCCTGACCTGTGACTCGATCCCGGTTCTCCGGGATCTGGCCCTGGGCTGAAGGTGGTGCTAAACTGCTGAGCCACCCAGGCTGCCCTAAAATGTTTTTGTTTTTTTTTTAAGATTTTTTTTTATTTTTATTTATTTATGATAGGCACACAGTGAGAGAGAGAGAGGCAGAGACACAGGCAGAGGGAGAAGCAGGCTCCATGCACCGGGAGCCCGACGTGGGACTCGATCCCGGATCTCCAGGATCGCGCCCTGGGCCAAAGGCAGGCGCCAAACCGCTGCGCCACCCAGGGATCCCTTTTTTTAAGATTTTATTTATTTATTCATGAGAGGGGCGCACAGGCGCGCGTGCACACACACACACACGCACACACACACACACACACACACACACGGACAGAGACACAGGCAGAGGGAGAAGCAGGCTCCATGCAGGGAGCCTGACGTGGGACTCAATCCCAGGTCTCTGGGATCACACCCTGGGCTGAAGTCGGCACTAAACCACTGAGCCAAAGGGGCTGCCCTAAAATGTTATTTTTAATTAAAATATTTCTTCTCTCACCCAGATTCTTTCTATATACTCTAGTTTTCAAAATAATGATGCTGTTTGCTCAGTTATTCTACCCCTTCTTAACAATGTTTTTAAACTCAGTATTTCTTTCATCTAGATGTCGAATCTAGTACCATCCTCAACAACCTTTGTTAATCTTTCCATGTCACTCTACTGACAAGTAATGATTTGCTCAAAATTAATCAGCAACCAATAGCGAAATTTGATGGAATCCAGATATCTTACAATGGAAATCTCTATAAAGTAAAGGTGATCATAAAGATTGGTGAAATAATTTAAGTAATGTGTTGATCTGAATCAAGGATATGCATTTTTTTGGGGGGGACTAAAAGACAGAAAGAAAAGAAAGGAAAAGAAAAGAGAAGGGAAAGAGGAAGGAAAGAAAGGAAACAAAGAAAAGAGAGAAGAAAAAAGCTAAGCTCACTCTTTTTTTTTTTTTTTTTGTATTACTAAAATACAAAAGAATCCTAAATACCCAGGGAATCATAGATTTACTATTTCCTAACTGAGGATACTCAGGGAGATATCATGATTCCCTACAAATGCCACTTGGCACACCTTGTAAATGAATAGAAGGACAACAGATGAACAAGCCCAAGCTAGAGACCCTTCTTTCCCTGTTCCCAAAATGTGGTTCAAGTACTAACTATATCAAAAAAAGTGTAGCTTTTTAAAAAAGAGTTCATTTATTTATTCATAAGAGACAGAGAGAGGCAGAGACATAGGCAGAAGGAGAAGCTGGCTCCCTACAGGGAGCCTGATGCAAGATTAGATCCCTGGACCCGAGGATCACACCCTGAGCTGAAGGCAGATGCTCAACCATTGAACCACTCGGGCATCCCTGTAGCTTTTATTTTAAACAGCATATCACTAAACTCCAACATTCTTAAACTCAGTCAAGTTTGAAACTCTTCCCCCATTCACAAACCTTCTTCAATCATTAAGCAATCATGCTACTTGTTTAATTAATTGTATCTGCTCTGTCAAAGGCTTTAAAAAGGCAATACTCCTTCAAGTTTTCATTAAGAGATGCTATGCCCTTACATAGATCATTTTGTTCTCTAACCATGAAACTTAGCATTATTTTTTAAAAGATTGAAATTTTTTTTAAGAGAGGGAAGAGGGGAATCCCTAGGTGGCTCAGCGGTTTAGTGCCTGCCTTTGGCCCAGGGCGCAATCCTGGAGTCCCGGGATCGAGTCCCACGTCAGGCTCTCGGCATGGAGCCTGCTTCTCCCTCCTCTTATGTCTCTGCCTCTCTCTCTCTATCATGAATAAATAAATAAGTCTTAAAAAAAAAGAGAGGGAGAGAGAGGGAAGAGGGAGAGGGAGAGGGAGAGAAAGAATCTTAAGCAGTCTCTAAGTCCAGCATGGAGTCCGACGCAGGGCTCAATCTTACAACCCTGAGATCATGACATGAGTTGAAATGAAGAATTGGATGCTTAACCAACTGAGCCACTCAGACTCCCCTAAAAAATTGCAATTTAAAGCCTAGAATGAGATACAGAGGAAGTTATGCAAACAAAATATTTTTCTTGATTATCCTACCCAAAATGGAAATATTAGGAAAATACTAATTATTTGGAAAATAATAAAAATAATAATAATTAGGAAAAAATAATTATTTCCAATAAATTAGGAAAAAAGATCATCTGTAAATTAACACAGAATTAAGTACATATTTTTTATTCAATTATAACAAACTGGTCATTAATTTTTTTTAAAAGATTTATTTTAGAGAGCGTGCACACGAGTGGAGGGTTGGGAGAAGGGGCAGAGGGAGAGGAAGGGAGAGAAGAAAAGAAGAAGACTCCTTGCTGACCTTAGAGCCAACAGGGGGCTGGATCTCACAACCCTGAGATCATGACCTAAGACCATAACAAGAGTTGGACCCTCAACTGACTGAGCCACCCAGGTGCCCCATTGGTCATGTTACATACCATTTAAGAAACTGGGTATGAAAAGCAAAAGTAGAAGTGCCTTTGTGGCTCAGGTGGTGAAGCATCTATCTTCAGCTTAGGTCATGATTCCAGGGTCCTAGGGTCAAGCCCTACATCGAAGTCCCTGCTCAAGAGAGAGTATGCTTCTCCCTCTCTCTCTGCCCCTCCCCCCGCTCATGCTTGCTCTCTCTCATGCTCTTCTTAAAAAAAAAGAACGAAAAGCAAAAGTATTAGTAAGATTTCCTTAATGAAGTAGAAAAAAAGACTAGAAAGAAAAACACCTACATTCTGTCTGTATAATACAAGGCTTAATTTTATATAAAGCCTTTTAAAAAGCCATTCTCATGAATTAATAGCAAAGGATGGATTTTTGAGAAATGATTACCATTTGGTGCAGTGGGAGGCGACCAGATGCCGTAATATTTTGGCAAATATTTTCGTAGCTCTAAAAGAATACCATCAGTACAGTCAGCAGCATAAACCTGAAACAAAGAGAAATACATTTTTATGGTAGTTTCCTATAATACTTTACATTTGCCTCTACACATTTCTCAAATAAAACAATACTGCTGAATCATAATTTATTTGGTATGAATTTCAATTGGAAATACATTTGGAAGTTAAAAAAATATTACTGTGTGTCTCCAACAAAAAAAGTATGTATTGTTTAGAGCACATTTTGGGGGGGGAGGTATCTAACTCTAGCCTTTCAATGTCCTTGAACTATTTTACAAATAAGTAAGTTGTAGATAAAACTTTCAGTAAATGCAAAATAATTCTTGTCCATAAAAATGTAAGTTCTGGCCAGAGGAGGTTTTAACTCACTTCCTTCCACTCCCATCTGTCATGGGAGGGTGGAATTTAGTGTCCACACATATGTACTTATTTCGACTTCCCTTCATTCCTTATAAATTTGTGCTTCTTGGGATGCCTCAGTGGCTCAGTGGTTGAGTGTCTGCCTTTAGCTCAGGGAGCGATTCCGGAGTCCTGGGATCAAGTCCCACATCGGGCTCCCCGCAGGAAGCCTGCTTCTCCCTCTGCCTATTCTTTGCCTCTCTCATGAATAAATAAAAAAAAATCTTTAAAAAAATTTGTGCTTCTTTAGCTTCTCTTTGCACCAGTTTTAATATCTGCTTGGTTCATTCATTATATAATTTAACAAAATCTTTAACTTTTTTTATATCTATAAGGGAGTTATGGTTTTATCTTTAAAAAATTATACTTTAACTCAATGTAAATCTAATTATTGCTCATGTAATTCCTTAATTTATAACCAATAATAATTCTAGAAAATACTAGGAATGTTCAGATATTCTGGAGCTAGATCCTTAGTTTTTTTTTCCTAGAAGAAAAGGGAACAAAAATATTTTTGTTTTAAAAACAACTTGTAAAGCATGTTATCCAATGAATTCTCACAATATGGCCTACCTAATTATTCAAAACCATTAAAGTTCGCTGGTGTAAAATGCTCATGAAGTCTTAGTATTGCAATTCTAATTATATTTGTCAAGTCATATTCATGTCAAGTAATTATACATACAACAGAATTCTACAGAATAAACTCAAGTGTGACAGAGACTCACCAAATACCCATGTAATACACTCTATTTCCCAGCTTCCCCTATTGAAATGTGAGAAGTGATATGAGTCACTTCTAGGCCAAGGTAATTAAGAGAAGAGTACACCTTATCATACCTTTGTTCCTAGCATAAAATCAGGAAGGGCAGTGTTCATGATGACATAACAACAGGATGGAGGAACCAAGTATATCTCTATTTACTTAAAAGAAGTCCACGATATATTTGTAAGTGAAAATGATAAAAACACTAAAAAGAGTATAGAAGTAAGCTTTCTCTTCTTAAATATTTTGAAGGGAGAGGTGATAAAAAAAACTTTCTACCCAGAGAGATGTAGGATAAAATATAACAAATATTTTCTTAAATGCATAGTTGAGCTCCCACGGAAACTCAAGAGTCTAAAATGAAAAGGAAATCAAAAGCGTTAAATGGAGCAGTGATGTTTGGGTTTCATAAAGGTCTGCCATGAAGACTTGAACCAAAGGATCTCTAAATTTATGGACTCCGCATAGATGAAGACAGTTTCTATACTGAAACAGGGAGAGTAAATGAAAATATTAAACAGTAAAAACCCAGGCATCATCTTCCTTCCCCTACCATTACACTCTAAAAATGCTACAGGTCACACTGATTAAGAAAAAGTTAAAAGTAGCAAAAAACCAAACAATACCAGCAGTAAAAAAGGAATCATATCTAATCCAATTATATTTTACTATTACATTAACAAAAAGTCAAGATCAGGCCTAAAAATATATCCTTTCCCAGGGTTGCCTGAGTAGCTCAGTCAGTTTAGCATCTGGCTCTTGGATTCAGCTCAGGTCCTGATCTCATGGCTCGTGAGATGGGAGTCCTGTGTCTGGCTCTATGCACAGGAGTCTGCTTCTATATTCTCTCCCTCTGCCCCTCTTCCTGCTCACATTCAATTCAATTCATTCATTCATTCATTCATTCATTAATACATAAATCTTAACAAAAAATCCTTTCCCAGGAAAGAAGGAATGACCAAAAAAAGGATATAAGAAAAGAAAGCAAAAAAGAAAGAGAGAGACAACTGGTTACACTGATGATTTACATTTAAGTTCTCTCAAGCAAGCCCTTAAGGAACAAAATCCTTATCTGATAAAAATTCTTCCATAAAACAGAAAAAGAAATGCCCCTTGATTCCTTTTATGAGTTAAAAGAAACTTGATATCAAAACCAGACAAGGAAAATATGTGAAGAAAATAATAGTTCAATCTCATTTATGAGAATAGCTGGAAAAAATATTAAATAAAACACTAGCAAGCAAAATCCAGCAGGGCATATTATTAAAAAAATTAAAAGGACATCTACAAGTAGACTTTACTCCAAACATGAACGGTAATGATAGATTAGAAATCTATTATGGCATTTATGTTAAGATTAAAAGAGGAATCTCATAAAATCATTTCATCAGATACAGAAAAGGTAGCTGAAAAATATTCAATAGTCATTCATGTCTTAAATTGTTTCTTTAAATAAAAACAGAACAGATGCTATGTATCTTCCCCTTTTTTCCAAGAAGCTAACTTCAATCAACTGCATCAGTGGGTGTCCCTTGCCCTCCTGCCATTCATTGTCTCTTAATAGTATCAGACGGTGGAAGGTAGGAAAAGTGTTGAGGTCAGGTTATTTACTTTTCTAATTCCCTCCTTCTCTGCTCATACTTTCTCATAAAGTTACCTTCCTTGGGCTCTAGTAACTTCTCCCTTTCTTTGCCCTTTCAGGCCCAGGGATGGTATAGCATTCACTCTTGAGGGTGGCCTTAAACTCTGACCACACCTTTGTAAACAGTCCCTTTATTAAACTGACAAGGTACACCATTTGTTTCTTGACAGAATCTTGACTCACACAGAAGGCAATTTCCTCAACCTGGGAAGAAGTATCTATCAGAAACTTAAGAGAGAAAGCTATACTTACATGGAGAAATATTAGAAGCACTTCTATTAAATGAGAGGTAGATGCCCCCACCATCACTGTTTCTATTCAGCACTGAACTGGAAATACTTGACAGAACTATATGGATTCAAAAGGAACAGCAACAACAACAAAAAAACCCCCTTCCAATCACAACAGATTTACTGTCTACACAGTAAACAATTAGAATTAAGAGACCAACCAGATTACTAGATAAAAGAAATACAAATATCTATTTCATTCCTGTATATTAGCAATCATTGGGAAACAATTCAAAAAAATTATAATAGAAACAAAAAATGAAGTACTAAAAATAAATTGAACAAAGTATATACAGGACTTTTATAGAGTGAATATAAAATACATTCTTCAAAAAAGAGGTTGTATGTAGCAGTTAAAAGCTAAACAAAATGTGGCATGAAAGTAAAATGGAACATTACTCAGCCATAAAAAGTGACAAAGTATTGACGCAGACTATAATGTAGACAAACTTTAAAAACATGCTAGGGGCTCCTGGGTGGTACCATTGGTTAAGTGACCAACTCTTGTTTCAGCTCAGGGCATGATCTCAGGGTCATGACACTGAGCCACAAGTTGGACTCCACATTCAGCATGGAATCTGCTTGAGATTTTCTCTCCCTCTGCCTCTCCTGCTCATGCTCTCTCTCTCTCTAGAATAAATAAATAAATCTTTAAAAAAAATACACCATGCTAAACAAAAGCTAGACACATATTGTATATTCCATTTATATGAAATATCCTAAATAGGTAAGTCCATAGAAAGAAAAATCAGTGGTTGCCAGGGATGGTTTAACAGGTACAGGGTTTCCTTTTGTATGATGAATATGTTTTGTAACTAGACAAAGGTGATGGTTGAAAACACTGTAAATATAATAAAAAAAGTATTCCTAGTCATAGAGTTAATTAAAGGTTTAGTATGCCCTTTCCTCCTCCCCAACTTTGGAAATTCATGGCATACATCAGCACATTTAAGGTTCTAAAAAAACCTGTAATAAAAATAAAAACACTTATTTAAACTCAGCATTTCTGATGAATACAAGTAGTCTCTCAGTTAAGCAATTTAGCAGATCAGAATAAGAATCTTTACAAAATGAAATGGAGTACGCCTAGGTGGCTCAGTCAGTTGGGCAGCTGACTCTTGATTTTGGCTCAGGTTGTGAACTCAGGATCATGAGATCGTCTGCCCCTCTTCCTCCCCCCGCTCCTGTGTGCATGTTCTCTCCCTCTAAAATAAATAAATAAAATTTTAAAAATGAAGTATAGTGGAAAATATTAGACTGTATCAGTAAAGATAAGCATTGTATTTCATAAAGCTTTTATTTCAGTCACATACACAATACAGCAGAACATAAGTCAAATATATTTCTTACCAAATCATCAGAAAACTATGAAAAACTCTTTGACTACAATGAAACAAATCTTACCTTACTTACCATATTATAGAATTCCAGCTCTCTTGGACCCCTAGGAGGTGGCTGTAACTGTTTCAAAACTGTGCCATCGGGATGTTGCAGGATACCTACAGAACAAAAATCAGATTTTTTTAAATGCTTTGATAATAGTGTACCTTGCATCACAGGATAGATGTGTTCCTAAAGTTACAGATAAACCACTTTCATAAAAATTAAGGGGTTTTCCATGTTTCAGAAATTTTAACATTTAACCAATACATTTCAGCACTTGGTATATGCAAAGAACCAGAACACAAATTCTGAATAGTGTGATTTTGTTGTCTCCAACTACTACACTCCTTAGAGCCCTCTCAGACTTTCTACTAAATAGAACATATTTCTAATTTTTTATAGAAATTCTTCAGTAATGGTCTTTCTGGGAGAGGTTATAGTTAAACAAGAAGTTAAAAGCAATAGTTTAAATTGATTCCATTCCTGTAAACAGAAAAAAAAATGTTAAAGGTGGTACTATATGAATTTCCTATTTTGTAGTTTTATAAGGTTTTCTCATTTATCATAAGAAAACAACTAAAAATTTTTCCTGATTCAGATGCACTATGTACTGATAGTATGAGAGCACATAGCCACTAGGAAAAGTGGGGGCTGAAATCAGATACTAACACTGGCACTGTCCCTATACTGTTCAGACTTATTACCAAATTTATACACTAAAATCTTAAATTTTCAAGTACTGAGATTTCAAAAAATCATGTGTTAGAATACAATAGGATACAAATAAATATATTTATTTTGATAAAATATGTCACGTTAGTTTCTGTTTCTTTTGGCAAGTATCAATAATTTTTAATCGTGACAAAAAATTCAGAATTTAATCAATAGCAGCAGAAATCTCAAGAAGTACAGTAATCAAGATTACTTAAGACCTACATATAGAATAGAAAGAAGGTAAATATTCAGCCAAAAGACTGGTTGACAAGCAGCCAAAAGATTTTGGGAAATTTAAGGAGTAATCTAATATAACTAAAAATTACTGAAGAGAAATTCTGTTCTTGAAGATCGGGATGCTGAACAAGAAAGGCCTTGATTCCTATGGTAATAGACATTTTCTATGGGCTAATGAGGAGTGGTAGATGCAACGAAGCCTTGATGGAACTGAATTCCACAGGAGGGAAAATGGAGCATTCATACATGAGGAGAGAACTATGCACCTTCCCTACCTTGATCCAGGGACCTACTCTAGATACAGGTGAACCTACCATTGGACAAATATATTTTACAGGCAAGCAGATATCAGCTACACTATAGGCAACCTTGTGGTAGAGCAAGATGGTTTAAAGACAACAGTCCTCTAACACAAAAACAGTCTGCTTATCCCAGCAATTCTCCAACATACTACTCACTCTGTAACATTTCGCACTCCAAGTTTTAAAAGAAAGTAGCTATGGAGAAGATAGTAATCCCAGGCATTCTCTGGATAAAGTGAATTCCAGGATCCAAAAGCAAATCAACAGTATCTTAAATAACAGCCAAACCCCTCCTAGCTGAAAAACTGGCAAGGTAAAAAAAGAAAGCAACTTGAAAGGGTGAGTCAGCAACATTAACTGGTTAAAATGTCCACACTACTCAAAGCAATCTACAGATTTAATGCAATTTCTATTAAAATACTGACAGCAGAGTTAGAACAGAGAATTCTACAATTTGTATAGAACCACAAGAGACCTTGAATAGCCAAAGCAATCCTGAAAAAGAATAACAAACCTGGAGGTATGACAATCCCAGATTTTAAGGTATAGTACAAAGCTGTCATCAAAACAGTATGGTACTGGCACAAAAATAGACACAGATCAATAGAACAGAATAGAACACCCAGGAATAAACCAAGCCCATGATTCAATTGGGAGGTCAACAAAGGAAGAAAGAATATACAATAGGAAAGACAGTCTCTTCAACAAATGGTGTTGTGATAACTGGACAGCAACATGCAAAAGAATGAAACTGGACCACTTTCTTACACCATTCACAAAAATAAACTCAAAATGTATTAAAGACCTATTTGGAGGACCTGAAACCATTAAAATCCTAGAACAGGGCACAGGTAGTAATTTCTCTGACATCAACCCTAGCAACTTCTATCTAGATATGTCTCTTGAGGCAAGGGAAACAAAAGTGGAAATAAACTATTGGGACTTTATCAAAATAAAAAGTATTCCAGTGAAGGAAACAACAAACAGGGATGCCTGGTTAGCTGGGTGGTTGAGCATCTGCCTTTGGCTCAGGGCATGGTCTTGGGGTCCAGGATGGAGTCCCATATCAGGCTCCTACTGCCTGTGTCTCTGTCTCTCTGTCTCTTGTGAATAAGTAAATAAAATCTTTTTTAAAAAAAGTAAACAACAAAACTAAAAGACAAGCCAACGAATGGGAGAAAATATTTGCAAATGATATAGTCAATAAAGGATTAGTACCCCAAATATAAAGAACTTACACAACTCACACCCCAAAAAACCAAATAATCCAATTTAAAACGGGCAGAAGATATGAACAGACATTTCTCCAAAGAAGACATCCAGATGGCCAGCAGAATGAATATGAAGATGCTCAACATTACTAATCATCAGGAAAATGAATCAAAACCACAATGAGGTATCACCTCACACCTGTCAGAATGGCTAGTATCAATAATACAAGAAATAACATTGTTGGTGAGGATGTGGAGAAAAAGGAAGACTTGTGCACTGTTGGTGGGAATGAACACTGGTTCAACCACTAAGGAAAATAGGATGCAGGTTCCTCAAAAAATTAAAAATAGAATTACCATATGATCCAGTAATTCCACTAGTGGAATTACAAAAACACTAATTTGGAAAGATACACATACCCCTACATTTACTGCAGCATTATTTACAATAGTCAAATTATGGAAGCAACCCAAGTGTCCACTGATAGATGAATGGATATCGTACACACACACACACACAAACACACACACAGAAATATTACTCAGCCACAAAAAAGAATGAAATCTTGATATTTCCAACAACATGGATGGGACTAGAGATTATAACGCTAAGTGAAATAAGTCAGAGGAAAAAAATTCCAAATGATTTCACTCATATGGAATTTAAGAAACAAACAAAAAAAGAAAAAGGAAAGGAAAAAAGAGAGAAACTAAGAAATAGACTCTTAACTACAGAGAACACATTCATGGTTACCAGAGGGGAGGTGGGTGGAGGAGATGAGTAAAATAGGTGATAGGATTAAGCAATGGACTTGTCATGATAAGCACTGACTGGGCAATATATGGAATTGCTGAATCACTATATTGTACATCTGAAACTAATATAACACTGTATGTTAACTATATTGGAATTTAAGATAACATTTTTTTAAAGTTTTACCACCAATAAAGTATCACAGTTTGTAAACTATCAATCAATAAATAAAATAACAGACTAAGTTAATATAAGACTGGAGCTCAGCACCAGCTCAACTAAATTCCAAGAGGAATATGACTTATTAGCCCATCACCCTAAACATAAGAAAGAACTTATATTCTACATAGAGGAAACAAAACAAATAGTACACTCCCTATTCAAATAAAATGTCCAAAATCTAATTTAAAAAAATTATGAGACATATAAAAAAATCAGGAAAATATGACACATAACCAAGAGAAAATATAGTCAAGAAAAGCTGACACACAGATAACCAAATAATTATAATTAATCAACAAGTATGTTGAAACAACAATCTTATATGTGCTAAAGAAATTATAGGCAAAAATAGATATAAACACTGAAAAGATGAGGTTTTTCAGGAGAGAAGCAGTCTGAAAAGAACAGCAACAACAACAAAAAAACAAAAAACTCTGAAGCTGACATGATAGAGTATCTGAAACAATTTTAATTGACGGATTACAATACGGTTTCAGAGAAAGGAACAAAGAACTTTAAGGATGATTCAAAATATCCAAATGCAGAGAAAGAAAAAGTATCTAAAAATAAAAAAGGAATAGAGTACTAGGAACCTGTAGGATAATATCAAGCATTCTAACAAACATGTAGTGGGAGTATCATAAGGAGAAAAGAGAATAGGTCAGAAAAAAATTTCTAGACTTCCACTTTTACCTAAGATACAGAAACCTAAAAACCCCATCCCAAGAATCAGGGTCATAGGGCCTTCCTAATATTGAAGCTGGACCAAGACAAGGAACACCCCTTACACCCTTACATCAGGCTAGTAATCACCAAGTAATAAGCAACAGTAATCTACATTTGGAGAAGTGGCATGAACATGGAAAAAAACTATCTCTGAAGCATGAGTGCACAAGGAAGACCTAAAGCAGAGCACTAAACAGGAATGTGAGAAAAATCCTCTGGCAAATCAACCCCACCCTAAACAAAAGATTACAACAGAAAAATTTCAAGCCTGTGGTGCAGTGAAGGTGTTGTCAGCTCCAGCTTCCATAACAAAATACCACAGACCAAGTGGCTTAAAAAACAAAAATTAATTTTCTCACAGTTCTAGAGGCTAGAAGTCACAGATCAAGATGACAGCCTATTCAGCTCCTGGTGTGAGTTGTCTTCCTGGCTTGTAGATAGCTGCCTTCTCTTTTTTTTTTTGTTTTTTGTTTTTTGATAGCTGCCTTCTCATTCTGTCCTCATATGGTGGAAACAATGAAAGAGAAAACATGTTCTCTCGGATCTCTTTTTGTAAGGACACTTATCCTTTTGGATCAGGCCCACCCTTAAGTCCTCATTAATCTTAATTACCTCCATAAAGACCCTTTCCAAATACAATCATATTGAAGGTTGTTGTTTCAGCATAGGAATTTGGGGCAACACAACATTCAAATATTCAATTCATAACAGAAAGTGACTGTAATAACAAAATTCCACCTTAGTTCAATCACCAATGCTATCTGCCTAGCAGAAGAGGCATATGCATTTCAGTCATAAATATTATTTGCCTTCAGTCTCACATGTGATGTCCAAATGTAATACAAAATTAAAGACATATGAAAAAGGAAAAAATACTGCCAAAAGAGAAGATGCAACATACGGAGCAGTTTCAGAGATGATACAAATATCAAAATCATCAAAAGAACTTA